TGACGGGCGTGGGCCACCGTGCCTGGCAAGCAGCTTGTGGTGGATCTTCCTTCCTGTGGTGCTGTCCCTGGGGATACTCTGCGTGCGTCCCTTCGAGGCACCGGTGCTTAAAAGCTGGGCCTCGTGGCTCTGCCCTGACGGGTGTGCTGGTTCCTCATCATCTTCAGGTGTCACTGTCCCCCTCCTCTGTTCCAGGGTGCTGTGCCAGGTTCTCCGCTCGCAGCAGTCTCTACATTCACTCCAAGAAGCACCTCCAGGACGTGGGTGCTCCCAAAACCCGCTGCCCGGTGTCCAGCTGCAACAGACTCTTTACCTCCAAGCACAGCATGAAGGCGCACGTGGTGCGGCAGCACAGCCAGCGCCCAGGTCTGCACCTCCCCGTCCCTCAGGGCGCCACCGAGATGTGTGCCTGACCCCAGGGGACAGAGCCAGGCTGCTCGTGGCTAGGTCGTGAAGTCAGAAGCCGTGGACCCCAGGGATTGACCCCAGGGGCCCTCGACCCCTGAGCCCCGTCCCCAGCCCTATTTTGCAGTTTATTGAAAGACGGGGTCTCCCTGAGTTGCTCAAGCCTCACTAAGTGGCTGAGGCTGGCCTCCAACTTGCGATCCTCCTGCCTCAGCCTCCTGAGCTGCTAGGATGACAGGTGTGGGCCACTACGCAGAGGGGACCTTGACAGCGCCTGGTGGGGAGGTCCTGACTCGCCACAGTTTGCCTCTGCTCCTGGCCCGTGGAGGCTGGGCCGTGTGTTACTAGCCAGTGCCCCAGCACCACTGTCCTGGGTGGCAGGCAGCACCCTCCCGGACACAGCTCCCGCTGTGGGCAGAGCCTCTTGGGAACTGCTGCGGAGGGGCCCTTTGCCACCTGCGTCTGTCACTTACTCAAGGACGAAGTCTGCGTAGCTCTCGTGGTGATGTGTTGTCAGAGTCTAGTGCAGGATTTGCCTGCAGCTGGGCTGAGGAAGTGTCCGTCTGTCCTCTGGCTCTGTCAGCCTGTGTTCAGGTGGCTGTGTGTCCCCGCCCCAGACACCTCCACCTTTGGTGGTCATCCCCGTGGCCTTTCCAGGCCCTTGCGTACAGAGGTGTCCTTTCTGGTTCTGGGGTGTCTTCAGGACGGGGTTGCTGGCTCCCCGCGGGATTAGGCCATGTCCCAGCCACTCAGGAGGCCGAGGCAGGAGGCCTGCAGGTTCGAGGCCGGCCTCAGCAGCGGGGCGCCACTGTGCATCAGAGTAGAACAGAGACGGGCTGGGCTGGGGCTCGGTGGCAGGGACCCGAAGTGGAGGCCTTAGGCAGGAGGGTCCACGAGTGTCATTTCTGTGTGAGTGTTAGGTGACAGGGACCAGGGAGCTGGGTGCTGGGTGCTGGGTGCAGGAGATAGGAGCAGAGTCGCGCCCCAGGTTAGGGTTGGAAGTGGGACGGGCAGGCAGGGAGGGAGATGGGGCCAGCCGAGTCCCAGACAGAGGGACAGGTCTCAGGGGTGGGGCTGCCACTTGGATCCTGGAGCCAGGCCTGGCCCCACCTTTACTCCCCACGTTGACCTCCAGGTGGCCCCCGCTGACTTGGGGGTGACGTGGTAGAAGGCGACACACTTGGACAAGACATGAGCTGACGTAACCTGACTCCAAAAGTGTCCCCAGAGCCAGAGCCTCTCTCCTGACTGACTTCTGAAGACTCTGCCAGGGGGAGGCTCACGGTCCACTCAGGGCCCCCCCCCCCCCGGGGTACAGGAGAAAGGGCGGTTTTCTGGAACCTTCCCTTGGCCTTGTTATTTCAGGACTGGGGGAAATCATACATACAACGTCCTGTCATGTTCTAGAGAAATCCTTTTTAAGCGCCAGGCAACAGGGTGCATACCTAGAGGCTGAGGCAGGAGGATCGAAAATTGGAGGCCAGCCTCAGCAACAGTGAGGCCCTAAGCAACTCAGGGAGACGCTGTGTCTAAATAGAAGACCAAATAGGGCCGGGGACGGGGCCAGTGGTCAAGGGACCCTGGGTTCAGTCCCTGATTTGTGTGTGTGTGAGAAGGGCCCGACATGTCCAAGCCACCCCCTCCCTTGGTGTCCCCTCTGTGTCCTGGCGACAGTGGGCCCTTGTTGGCCATCACCAGGCCGCAGCTCCAGAGGGTAGCAGATGTGGCCGTCAGTTTCAGCCTGACCAAGATCCTGTCTCCCGAGATCCCACGTAACAGGGGTGTCCGTCCCCTGGCCCTGCGTGACGGCTGTCCCTTCCTCTTGCAGACCTGGTCCCTCCCCTGGAGGCGCCAAGTTCGCTCACCCCCAGCAGTGAGCTGAGTGGCCCCGGGCAGAGCGAGCTCAGCAGCTTGGACCTGGCCGCCCTGTTCTCAGAGCCACCCGCCAGCGGAGGTGCCGCAGCTGCGGGGTCAGAGGAGGCGCTGAGTTCTGGGATCCTCACCATCGACGTCACTTCCGTGAGCTCGTCCCTGGGAGGGACCCTGCCAGCCAACAGCAGCTCCTTGGGGCCCATGGATCCCCTGGTCCTGGTGGCCCACAGTGACCTTCCTCCAAGTCTGGAGAGCCCCCTCATCCTGGGGACAGCGGCCACAGTGCTCCCGCCGGGCAGCTTCAGCGTGGAGGACGTGCACGCGGTGACCACGGGACCCGTGGGCTGCCTGGTGGCCCTGCCCGTGGGCCAGGACCCAGGGGCTTTGACGTCCAGTGGCAACTTAGCAGCACACGCCACCACCCCGGCCTGCAGCAGCGTCCCCGAGCTGCCAGCCCCCGTCAAGGTGGAGAGGGACCCGCCTGTGGCCTCACAGCAGGCAAGCCACGCGCCACCCCCGCCCGCGTCCTGCAGCCCCCCAGAGCAGCACAGTGCCCGGGGCACAGAGCCCGCTGCCGGCCCCGGTGGCCTCTACCTGGTATGAAGCACACGTGGCTGTCCCTCACCTGGGTGGCGAGGACATCCTGGACCGGTCCCTTCTATGCAGACGTCTCTTACTGGTTGGCAGAAGGACACAGCCCTTGGGGACAGACTGAATGTCAGCCCCTTGACTTGAGTCTGGAACTGCGAGCCCTGGCAGCCCTGTGCCGATCCCTTGCCCTCTCTGAGCCTTAAGTCTTGGTGGTTCCTCAATCCGGGGATGCGGCTGGCTGTCCCTAGGCCTCTGACTGCGGGGATCCTGTCACCTGTGTTTGTGTTTCTTGAAAAAACCCGGGGGCTGCTCCCTGCGTTGGGATGTGTGGCCTTTGTGCTTTTCACGTAGTGACAGATGGGCAGGGGCACAGCGGGGTGTGGGGTGAAAGGTCGTGGGAGTTTTAAAAGAGGCCCAGATATTTTTTCCTAAGTGGATTGAAGAAGTGCGGGGGGACAGCGTGCGGGGCCAGGTTCCAGTGGCCCAGGCGGAGGCTGGACGGTCGAGTCTGATTATATTTATATCCCTGTCCACTTCATCTAACTTAAAGTAACTTAATTAAAGGTTCTTGGGAGAATCTGCTTTCCTCAGTGTCCACTGTGGCCACCGCAGATTTTTCTGGAAGGCACAGGTTGAATTGCACGGTGACATTCCTGCTATTCCGAATGTCCACTTGACCCCAATTTAAAACGCCGCCTCTTCTGAAGGAGGCGCAGGGCCCCAGACGTCCCCCTGGAGCCCACTTTGTCTCTGGTGTCCTGCTCTTGGGTGGCCCAGGCACTGCCACAGCGGTCGCAGAGCGACTGGTGACAGTGGGCTGGGGGAGGTGGCTCCACAGCAGAGCCACGGTGGGGTGAGGCGGAGGAGCGCCAGACCCTGTCCTAACCCTTGTTCATTCTCTCGCTAGCTGTGTGACGTTGGGCTCCCTCGTGTCCCTGAGTACAAATGGTGTGTGGTGACTGGGCCCCAGGTATGATCTTTGCGGCAGAGGGCCCGCCTTCCCCTCTGTCGTCGCGAGAGTGGGGGTCCCAGGTGACAGCCGTCTTGTGTCGGGACAGAGCAGGGTCCAGAGTGAGGAGGGGACAGCGCTGCCCCAGGCCCGCTGTGCCCCCTTGGGACCCACCAAGGCACAGGGAAGACAGGCCACCTCAGAGCCACCTGGAAACCATCTCCAGTGTGTTCTCCGCTCCAAGGCCACCCTGTTGGCTTCCCTGGGTGACAGGCTTGTGTCTCCGCCTCAGCTGGACATTGGAAGTGACTGCTGGGCTCTAGGGAGTCTCAGAGTCAGCCTCAGGGTGTTTCTGGTCCCTTGCCCACCCTCCTGCGCTGCGGAGATCCAGTGACTGATACCCTTTTCTTTGGTCCCAGGAAAGTGGGGGCTCAGCGAGAACTGATTCCCGGGCCGTGCAGCTAGCCCAGAAAAAAAAGGAAGGAGCGGCCCGCCGTGCAGGTGAGGCCAGGGCGCTGGCGCTGGGCGGGCGGGTCCCCGTCGCAGCCCAGGGCACGCAGAACCGCGCTCTGTGCGGAACACCCTTGGCCGACTCCTCGCCTTTACGCGTGCAGACTCCAGGGGACAGGGCAGCAGCAGCCTCGGGCCCCAGCAGGTGGACGCGCCCTGTACTCACCTGGTTACAACGTAGGGGTCCCCACCGTGTCCGTTCCCCGGGCGGCTGCAGAGTGGCCAGGTGTCACAAGAGCACCAAGCTGCCTCACGTCCCCAATCTGGGCAGGGTGACAACCCTAGGGCTGGGCTGCAGTGGTGCAGTGTCCTCTCGTCCTATTTATAGTCACATCGTAGCTTAGTAAGAGTAACTTGTGGGTGCGCTGGTGCCGTCTGTCAGCCCAGCAGCTCGGGAGGCTGAGGCGGGAGGATGGCAAGGTGGAGGCCAGCCTCAGCAACAGCAAAGCTCTAAACAACTCAGGGAGACCTTGTCTCTAAATAAAATGCAAAACAGGGCTGGGGACGGGGCTCAGGGGTCGAGGGCCCCTGGGTTCAATCCCTGGTCCCCAAACGAACAAACGAATGCTAGTTTTTGTTCAAGGGCTTTTTAAAGCAGATGTCCCGTGTCGTGAGTGTCACACAGTCACCGCTCACCGGGCTTTGGGAAGGGAAACTATCACGGGTCATGGAGTGCCGTGGACAGCGCATGGAGAACAGGCAAGGAAGGGGGGGTCTGTAGAAGGGACCCCCAGGCGCCAGGCAGAGCTCATGTCGGAAACCAGCGCCTTCGTGGACCCGGTCAGTGACCGTGAACTTGAGGGAAAGAGACTGCAGACAGGCGGGTGGATGGTGGCCAGTCCCTTAGGTGACCTTAGAATGGTGCTCATGAACGTTCACGTCATCCTTAAGAAATAAGGACATGGGCAGAATCGCAGTCACACGTTGTCACACAGTAGGTCTTCAGTGTCGAGTCCCGCAAGGATCCAGATGTCGTGGTTCTGAGACGGGTCACGTCAGAACCCACATGACGCCCTGGGCTCCTTTGGGGGGTTGCGACTGTCCCAGCTGCAGGTTCTGCATCTCCCTCCTCCCGAGCAGGTGGCCTGGGGACTGTCCCTGAGCTGCTGTGGCTTCTGCTGAGGGCATCACCCAGGTGCCGCTGGGCGGGTTTCCTGTTACCTGGGGACCTCTTCGGTGGGTTCTGTGTGTGGACAGCGTTGGGGAAACTTCACGGGGTGGCCCTGGTGGCCCTGCTGGGTCGGGAGCAGCCCATGTGACATCAGGCGGCCCCCTGCACTCTGGGGATGCCGAGATGTGCTGTCAGCTCTTCACTGACAGCTGGGCGACGTCTGTGAAGAGCAGCGTCCCCGTCCCCACCCTTGAGGTGCGCTCACAGGAACGGGACATGTGGGTCGTGTTTGGTTTTCCTATAAGACCCGCCTCCTGGTGTGTCCTGTTTGGGTTTTGTTTTGTGGTGCTGGGCACTGATCCCGGGGACTCTACCACCCGGACCCCTTTGATCGTCTGTTTTGAGACAGGGTCTCCCTAAGCTGCTGAGGGGCCTCACTAAGTGGCTGAGGCTGGCCTCGAACGTGCGATCCTCCTGCCTCAGCCTCCCGGTCACTGGGATGACAGGCGTGTCCCACCACATCTTACCATTTGCTATAATTTCAAGAAAACTTGATGCCTTGGTGGCACTCCTCTGTGTCCCCACGTCGTGCACTGTGTCCTCAGTCCTAGTGCGTCTGTCAGGGTGCTCTCTTGCCACAGTCCCGAGAGTTGACAACAGACATTACCGCCCATCCCCCTACCCCAGTATCCTTGCTCTCCCAAGCATACTGTGCTGGTGGGGACAATTGCAGGCTTTCCCACCCATGACCACACAGACGCTCTGCCGGCCAGGGGCAGCTGGGCCTGCGGATTCTGCTGGGTCTCATCGTGTGGACGGGCTGACCTTCATGTCCAGTCACTCCAAAGGCTGATCTGGTGCTGCGTGACCTGAGGCTTCCGCTGTTTGTCACACTGTCAGCCTAAGCCACCCGCCTGGGTACAGAGGTGCTCTCACCAGGCCGACACCCCCAAGGACACGCACGTCACCTCCCAGGACCGACTCGCTCCTTTAGTGAGTTTCTTCTGTTCCTTCCACCGCGGTCAGTGTTGGGTTAGGGTCACCCTTAGCATCGTGGTGTGCCTGGGCGTCCCATCCCTGGGTGGACGTACCCACCTGGCCTTTGTCCTCGGTGCTTCCTCACCGTCCGGCACCCTCAGGTCATGGCGTTACCTAGCCCCAGCCAGTGCTTTGATCCTCTTGAGCACAGCAGTCACCTAAGTAGGATCACAGCCCAGGGGACACAGCCCTGTGTGAGTGGAGGCCAGGTCTGGCCTCCCCATTGGGCATTGGCACAAGGTGGGGAGCTGGGGTTGGAACCCTTGGCTTTGGGGATCGTGGGGGCGGCTCGGGAATCCGGAGGAAGCCCAGGAACAGGGCAGTCGCCACGTCATGGGACTGTAAAGCTGGTCACACGTAGTCACTCCTGAGCAGGTGACTTCTCTCTAAGATAAAGCACCTGCTGAGGTTCCAGTTGAGATTAAATGAGATAATACCCGCAAAGTCCACATAAAGCACTCAGAATGTGAGCTGCCCGTCGTGGGGCGTGTGTTCCTGCGCGTGAAAGAGGACGTGGCAGGAGCTGGGCTCACGCCTGTGCCACAGGTAACTTCCTGTGAAGTCACAAACTTCAGTGGAGTCGGCCTCTATTTCAAGAGGAAATAAGGGACCGTCCTAAGAGGAGTCAGATCCCGATTTTGATGCTTTTCTGTGACTCACCAAATTCCGATTTGAAAGAACTTTCATTTGGGGCCAGAACAAATCTAGTGGATGCACCTCCAGTCTGAGCAGATTGAGCAAGGATAACAGGAAGCCCGAGGAAATGGCCCAGTCAGTAGGGAACAGAAATCAACGTCTCTCGTAAGCTAAATGGTGGTCACTGAGAATACTTACCACAAAGAGATCATTGGCCAGGAAAACAGCAGTCACCATCATTCAGAAATGAGAATGAGCCTGGCCAGGTGGCCCACGCCTGGCATCCCAGCCAGGGAGGCTGAGGCAGGAGGATCTCAAGGTGGAGGCCGGCCTCAGTAAGAGCAAGGCCCTGAGCCACTCAGGGAGACCCTGTCTCTAAATAAAATGCCAAATAGGGCTGGGGACGGGGCTCAGGAGTTGCAGGTCCTTGGGTTCAAGAATGTCAACAGGAAGCTAGTGTATGAGCCACACACTGCCACACAGCAGGATCCGCCCCTGTATGTGGCATGTGCAGCGCGAGCTGTCCCCGAGCTCTGAGATGGATGCTTCCCAGGACAAGCCGGACGAGATGGCCCTCCAAAAGAGCCGCAGACTGGTGGCCTATGGGATGGGCTCAGAAACACCCGAGACCCAGGAACACAGGTGACCTGTCTCACCCCCGGGGGCGAAGGGGACGTTAGGCAGTGCTAGCCAGCCCTGCGGTCAGGGGTCTGGGGACTTGGTGATTTTCCTAACAGATCTGTGTTTGATTTTAAAAATGGACAGCATCAGCGGTGGCAGTGACAATGCATAATGAAGATAGCCCAAGCCCACAGCCTGCCTCGTGCTTCACGGTGACAGCAACGCCCTCGCTCCACGCACAGGAATCCTCGGGTGGCCATTGTCCCCTGGCATTGCGCGGCCTCCCGGGGCTGCTGACCACTGAAGGAAACCAGGACCAGTCACCAAAGGCCAGGCGAACCTAATGGTTCCTGTGACAAGATCGATGGCGAAGGAGGGGACAGGAAAGGCCATACCTGCAGGCGTGGAGGAGGGGCAGCGCCCTTGGCCAGGGAACAAGCAGTCCAGGAAGGACCTGAGGCTGGGACATTGTCGTAGAGTGGAGGAGGCTGGGTTGCTCGGGCCTCGTAGGCCATTGTCACGACTCTGGCTTTCCAGTGGGAATTGGAGGAGAAAACATCAGAGGGTGTAAGTAGAAAAAGGGCCTCAGCCAGGGACGGTGGCCCACGCCTGTCATCCCCGCAGCTCGGGAGGCTGAGGCAGGAGGATCGCCAGTTCAAACCCAGCCTCAGCCACAGCGAGGCTCTAAGCAACTCAGTGAGACCCTGTCCCTAAATAAAATACAGAATAGGGCTGGGGACGGGGCTCAGGGGTCGAGGGCCCCTGGGTTCAATCCCCAGTAACCCCCTGCCCCCCCCATAAAAGTACATCCTGCCTTTTAAAGGTCGTTGTAGCAACACGTGGAGATTCACAGATGGGACAGGAGGGCATCCAGCCAAAACAGGAGTGGCCGAGATCCCAGGGGTGACTGAACACGGGGATTCTGACCCCTGTGGGGTGTGGGGGACTCATCACAGTGCTGGCAGCCCTCCATGGCATTGTACCAGAGTCCCGCTGGAAAACTCAGGACTTCAGGACCACGTGAGCAAGGATGGCCAGGGAGTGGCACTGTGGTCCTCTAGACTGTCACAAGGCCACAGCAGCTCCAAATGGGAAGCGAGAAACACCCAGGACCAGGGCCATGACAGATACAGCCCAGCCTTGGGGGAAAACAAGTGAGTCCCCTACAGATAGAAGATGAGGCCGGGTGGGGTGCCCACCTGTCATCCCAGCGGCTCGGGAGGCTGAGGCAGGAGGATCGCAAGTTGGAGGCCAGCCTCAGCAACAGTGAGGCCCTGAGCAACTCAGTGGGACCCTGTCTCTAAATAAAATAAAGTCTGGGGACAGGGCTCAGGGGTTAGCACCCCAGGTTCAATCCCCAGTACCCAAGGGGGGAAAGAAAGGAATAAATGGGAATGAGACAGAAGCCCAGGGCCAGCCCAGGACAGGAAGCTTCCTCGCAGACTCGGCTGGACATTTCTGGAGCGTCCTTCTATGTCTCCACAAGCAAAAGATAAAACGAGTCACGCTGACGTTGCCTCCTCCAGTTGCACCTTTGCATCCCGTGGTGGAACCTTCCAGGGCTCTGTGTGGAGGTACCTGAGCCCATGGCCACTCTGCGGAGCTGCTGGTGAGGGGACATTGCCAAGTCAGATGGGCAGGAAGCCATGCACCTGCTCCTGTTCGGGGTGAACCCACGTTCCACGCACACGCTGGGTGTGTCCCCAGACCTGAGCCTCTGCTGGCTGAGAGAGGGACGCAGCAGGATGCACATTAGTAGCACTGCGGTGGCTGGCAGAGGGGTGAGCTGCGTCCTGATGTCATAGCTCCCACGTTTCCATGGAGAATTTGGGTGGAATTAAAAGTCAATCTGTGATCTAATTTACTTATTTATTATTTTTGTGGTGCCAGGGATTAGACCCAGGGGCCTTCCACCCCTGAGCCCCGTCCCCAGCCCTATTTTGTACTTTATTTAGAGACAGGGTCTCCCTGAGTGGCTCAGGGCCTCGATCAGTTGCTGAGGCTGGCCTCCACCTTGCGATCCTCCTGCCTCAGCCTCCCCAACCGCTGGGATTCTAGGCGTGGCCCCTGCACCCGGCAGCGATGTGAGTTTTATGATTATTGTTTTCACTTTCACACAAAATCCTCTGGGCATCGTGGTGACAAGGTTTCTGCCTCCTCTTCCATTGCTGCTACCGAGAAGGCAGAAGGGCCACTGGGAGGGGTGGTGGGAGGGCAGGGCCTGAGCTGGTGTCACTCCTCCTAGAAGAGTCCCTGGTCCCTGCGTAGCTGTCTCCACGTGGGGATGGAGTCGGGGCGAAGCGTCTTGGTGGTCAGGGGTCCGTTAGCCCTGGGTGGGCCCCACGCACACCCCCCCAAGGGCAGGCTGGGCCTTGGGCCCTGTCTGTCTCAGCCACAGGGCGCCTCTGCTCCAGCCGTCCAGAGAGGCTGGACAGTCCCCGCAGAGCAGGACGCAGTCAGCCCAGCTCCTCCTTGTCCCCCTCTGACTCCAGCCTCCCAGGGTCCCAGGCGCCAGGCCCCATGGGTGGCAAGAGCGTTGGCAGGAGGTGAGGCGCAGGTGGCCGCAGCCTTGCTGGGTTCTGTTTGGCGACAGTGATGATGACAACGTCTCTTGCAGTAGTTTTCTACACCCTGTCCCTCTTCTGGACCTTGGTGACATCCAGCCCTCCCTCCTCTTTAGCCCTGGCCTGGGAGCTGGCTTTCTGCTCTGCTGAGTGTTTGCTGCCCGAGAATGCGGTCACCTCTCTGCCCAGTGGTCACCTCTCTGGGACGCCCAGAGAGATCCTGAGGGAGTCCCCAGCTAGAATCGGCCACTTCAGGGTAGTGACTGTGACATTCAGTGCCTCAGGGTTACCAGTACTACTTCATGGTCCCCTCGTCACTGAGTGGATGGCACATTTGTGTGTTGTCGGAGCACGAGCCAGCCCCCGAGCGCCACGCGGTGAGGGCCACCGTCACAGCAGGTTGGCCCCAGGACTTGTTGAGCGAGTGACAGAACATGCTCAGACCACTTGAAGGTTCTAAGTAGGAACTGCTAAAGTCAAGCGCAAAGCCAGACCTTCCAGGGAGATGGCAAATAGCCAAGGCGGTGACTCTGAGCCCTTTGTGTCAGTCACCCCCTAGCCGGGCACCGTGGCCCACGCCTGTCATCCCAGCAGCTCAGGAGGTTGAGGCAGGAGGATCGCCAGGTGGAGGCCAGCCTCAGCAACAGCGAGGCCCTGAGCAACTCAGTGAGACCCTGTGTCTAAATAAAATGCAAAAAGCGGCTGAAGACGGGGCTCAGGGGTTAAGCACCCCTGGGTTCAATCCCCAGCCCCCTAAAAATGTTCGTTTATGACAGATGATGGACTATTTCTGGCCATCGTCCATCGTCTTTCCTATGACAATTTTTAACGCCTTTACTTCCTGTTACCAAATCAGGACCCCGGTCTGGCAGGATTAACGGGGTGATCTCTGGTTCTGTGCACGCGGGTCTGGATTCTCCAGTAGATTGACCCCCTGGGTGACAGGCACACATTTAGCCAGGAAGACGCCACTTCTGTGAGACGACATAGAGTGTGGCCCCCATGTTGGGCATAATGTAAAAGGCACTTTGTAGTTTCACGAAGCCTTCCTCGATTCCACAGTGGTCTCTCTAATACGCCTTGAACCACGGTTCAGTCTATTTATTTGAATTAAAAAATCATCAGAAGATGAACCTGCCTTGCTCTTCGGAGGCTGGCTGGCTACTTGAGATTCCTGGCACACATTGTCCCTAAATTGAGACGCTCCATCTGCAGAGGTGTCATGACGTTATTATTAAACCACTTGAGAATTTGACTTACAAAATATTTTAATGGACACCAACATACGCAGACCAGGTCTTGTTGGAGCAATATTAAAACACAGAAAGGTACATGGACTCACAGGGGATCCAAGTCCTTCCCACTATTGATGTGTTGATCTTTTTTTTTTTTCTAACCAGGGATTGAACCCAAGGGTGCTGAACCACTGAGCCTCATCCCCAGCTCTTTATTTTATTTTTTTTTTCCATTTCGAGTCAGCTTCTCGCTAAATGACCCAGGGCCTCACTCAGTTTAGCTGAGGCTGGCCTCTAAATTGTGATCCTCCGACCTCAGCCTCCTGAGCCATGGGGATTCTACGCGTGGGCCACCGTACTTGCTGTCTCATGTTTTCAGTACAGCTTTGCTTTTGGTATTCTAACTGTTGGTGTTTCTAATATATTTTGTTTGGCATTATTAGTAATGACACTGTTAACTTTAACTTCTAGACTAGAAATTCTCATAAACGTTCTACTGTGTCCCTTACCGTTCTTACAAGAAAACATGCTTGGGTGATCGAGAGATTTTAAAGCCTAAAGTGTGGCCCTGAAGAGTTCTAAAAGCCAGATGGAATAGTATAGAGACTCAAAGTCCCAGGAGCTGAGGTGACAGTTCTTGCTAATAAAGAGGCCCTGCGTATCCATCTTGCCGTGGCTCGGCCCTGTTCTGCCGTCTGAAAGTGAAAAAAGCAATTAGAAAAGAGAAGCTAGACGCAGAGCAGTGGTTAGAAACCACACCCCTGTCATCTCAGCCACTTGGGAGGCTGAGGCAGGAGGATCGCCAGGTGGAGGCCAGCCTCAGCCAAAGCGAGGCCCTGAGCCACTCAGGGAGACCCTGCCTCTAAATAAAACACAAAATAGGGCTGGGGACGGGGCTCAGGGGTCGAGGGCCCCTGGTTCAATCCCTGGTACCCCACGCTCCCCCCCAAACACCCCAGCAGATGTGATGGGCTGACATCTCCCTGCGAAGGGCCCTGCCCATCGTCGCCCTGGTACTCTTTGCCCTTCAAAGAGACGGGCCTCAGAGGCTGAGGAGGAAAGCGGTGGCCAGTGCCTGGGTAAGACAGTGGCATGTGGCACTGCACCTGTGACCCGAGTCCTTGGCCCTGGCCGGCCTACCTGGGGCTAATCCTGTTGGGGATTTCAGGTCCCTCGGGCACTGCAGACTGTCCATGGAAAGACTGTCCCCAGTGCCACCTCCGTGGGGCCAAGAGCCACCGATGGATGGCCGGTTGGATCTGCTGGGTCCCATCTCTCATTTCAGAAGCCCCCGAATCCACTCAGAGGAAACTCAGAGATGGCCAACGTGGGCCTCCCTGCCTCCAGGGAGGCCAAAGCAGCTGTCCACGTGGGAGCCTCCCCGGGCCCCTCGGAGGTCCACCAGGGTCCGCTCTGACAGCCGGGCTCCAGTGCGTCCAGGTTCCGGTCCTGCAGGTAGGACAGGCGCCACTAAGCCCCGTGGAACGTGCTGGTCTGGGGACAGGCTGGGCGGGGGGCCGGCACCGCGTCTGCACCCTGACCACTGTGGCCACCACCGCCCGCCCCTGATAGTCGGCCCAGGCCCGTCTCACATCCCAGTCCCCGGTAACCCCCCTTCTCTCTCCCCAGCCCGTCTCCCTGCACCTCTGCAA